AAACAACTTGCGGAAGTTGTGGTTTGATAATGAACCTCTCAAGGGTGGAGCGAAGTAGGTCAGCAGGAAAGCCTGCTTTTTCTAACCTCTGCCGCTGCAACTTAAGGCTACTTTCCGAGAAATGCTTGCACGACTTGGAGAATGAGGACTTGAAAAGTGACCTTACTATTCCATGCTTAACGGACTTGGAGTGAGCACTGGTGAAAGGGAGGACTGGTGAAAGGGAGGTTAAGCATGGAATAGTAAGGTCACTTTTCAAGTCCTCATTCTCCAAGTCGTGCAAGCATTTCTCGGAAAGTAGCCTTAAGTTGCAGCAGCAGAGGTTAGAAAAAGCAGGCTTTCCTGCTGACCTACTTCGCTCCACCCTTGAGAGGTTCATTATCAAACCACAACTTCCGCAAGTTGTTTCAAAAAAGAAAGGTCGTTTCGCTGTGATTCCCTACATGCACAATTCCGCGCACCGTTTAAGGTCTATCGCGTCCAAGTTTGACACGAGTGTGGCTTTTTCTTGTCGTATGCGCCTCAAACAGATGTGCAAAAAGGTTAATGGGAGCGACAGTCCCCGAGGGTGCAATGTAAAACATGCAAAAAAGTTCGTAGAATGCGAAGAAAGGAAGGTTTATTCGATTCCACTAAGCTGTGGCAGTCAGTACATTGGACAGACTGGGAGATGCGTCAACCACCGACTCAGAGAACATAACTTGGAAGCATCAAAGGCTTCAACTGAGTCGTATCACCCCATTGTCGTTCACAGCCGCACATGCGATGACTGTACGCCTCATTTTTCTAATACTAATATACTGGGCGGGCACAATAACAGATTTGGAACAGAAATCATCGAGTCATTTGCCATGGGGACTGTTAACAACAACATTTCTGCACCGTCATTATCATTGACAAAGACAGAGGTCGAATTCTTAACACCAGAGTTGACTAGAATATTGACACCTCGTCGTGACGCTACAGCTTTTTAACTTTTATATTTATAGTACAATTTCCTTTTTGGACTGCAAACAAGAATAATTCCGCATTATCACTGACAATGACCAAGGTTAATTCTAAGTAATCGAAAATAACTAGATTACTGATGCGCTTTTCAAACTTTTCTTTTAGTGTATTCCCTTTCCTTTATAACTAGTATCTCCTTTCCCTCTTTGAGAACGTTGAGACCCTTGGGGGGCGGTTTTATCGTTGTGCCATTCTATGTTGTTGCTAAATGAAAGATGTCCTGTTCCCGTCCTCGTCCTCTCTGTTTTATACTTTCAAGTTTTGTATCTATTAACCAACACGCTCGTTTTCAACTGTAAATTCATTCATTCACTGACGGTGAGATGACGTAAACTGTCGGCAACGTTACAAAAAAAAAAAACTCAGTTGGGGAACTTCCATACAGCCTGCTCTAATAAAGTGGCACCAATCGGTACTCGAAAACCGAGCTAACGTTGGGTCCTAACACCGCCATTTCTCCCGCAGCGGCCACTGCGGGTACTGCACGGCTGCTTTTATTGGTTCGGGCGTATCGTATTCGTTAGCGTCCGCTGTGACTGTTCTTTTTTTGGCTTAATCGGCCATTTTGATGCCGAAACATATACGGTATAACGGGTTTCAGGGATGCCAACCTCTGTTTCCCAAGCGGACGCGCCGCAAATTACTACCGAAGTTAGGACGCTCCCAGGTCTGGACGCGCTACCTAAAGTCACTGATGAGACATGGTTGTAAAAAAGAAATATTAATTGTGCTACAAAACCTTTCAAATCTAAAGGTTTTTTAAGCCATCACGCATCTGTTTTCTTTTTTTGTACTACCCTTCAATAAACGTTTTATCAAAAAGAGCTTTTCTCGTTTGTTTTTACGCAAGAACATGCTTTCTAAAAGCTCATGGTGACCACAGTAAAGAAAAAAAAGTGAGCCACCATTTTGGGACCACGAGCCTGGGTGTTTATGTACACTGCGAACATTCAGTGACTCTAGCAGTAGCCATATAAAGCAACTTTTATGTCTCAACTTTTCGCTAAATGGTGGTGTGGTCATCGCATTTAGTTCGGTCTTGGTGGATGCCAGCGGCCCAGGTTTCAAGGGGAAGTTTCCCAACTGAGTGTTTTAGTAGCGTTGACTGTCGGGCATTGATGCCGCTGGCCGTGATTCGAGGGAGCGGTGTGTTGTAGGTTGTCACTCTTCTTCACATTAATTAGTTTGAAACCATTTGAGAGATTACGGTGCAATCGTAGCTGGTTCCGGTTCCAGTCAAGGTAATTTCGGTTTTGGTTTTGGCGTTTCTGCTCCGGTACTTTTCTCCTATTCGCTTTTTCATTCTCCTTCCTCCTCGCCTCGCTAGGCTCTTAGAGGCTCCTAGACTCCCGCTGGTTCTTTTTTTTTTTTTCAGTTTGAACAAATTTTTTTTTTTTTTTTTATCTTGACATTATGCGAAAATTCTCAAACAATATTTCAACTCAAGTCACAAAACAGAAAAAGTGAATTTCTTGTTGTTGTTTTTTATTGCAAAACGTTGAAGTTGCACAATCGCCACATGGACTCCTGGACACTGGAGGATTTTGAGGTAAAAAAAACTAAGTTGTTCAAAAAGATTTTTTTAGACAATATTGATATATACATGATTTTCTTCAGAAGCTCTGTAGGTTCTATAAAAAACAGTAGAACTCCCAAAAATAAACGAATATGAAGAAGTTCGTCATATCGCACAATTCGTAATAGATTTTGAGCGAAACCAAGGTAACAAAAACTTTCCACATGGAACATGCTGAATGATTCATTCGTTTTGATGCGAACTTTGCAACTGGATGTAAGGGAAGAAATAAATAAGACATCGCTTTCATTACCAGTCATAAGAATATAATAGGAGTGCAAAGCAAACACCGCATAAAATTAATTCTCAATTTATTTTTACTTTAAAAAACACAAATTGGCATATCCTCCAACTCACTGCGGGCAAGTTATTACCAAACAATGAGAACTTAATTTCGGAATCTGATTCAACATCTGTAAACATTCCCCGAAATAGATTTGTTCAGGAAATAAAGTATGGCTAATGTCGCATTCATGTACGGGCACAACAGAAGCAGATGCCCCTGGTAAGAAAACATAACACAATATTTCAGGTCATAAGTAAGCCAAAGAGGCCTTGCAACAGTACTGCTAAACTTTGTATCGTAAAATCGTTAATTAGTTCAAAACGTAAAGATCGCAGGAGCTTTCTTGCTAAAAGTTACTGTGATTATGCGCTTACCTAGGGATTTAACAACTTTTTCTAGGCCCTGCGTACAACGCACGCATTGCGCATCGATTCGCACACATTCCAGAGTTCAAACAAAGCTAAGAGAATGCGAAAATTTAAAAGCACTAAACGTTTTATCGGTCCTCGGACATATCCGGGATTCTGAGCACCACTACGGCTATACGATTGATGTTATCTCAAGAGTGCTAATATCCAAATCGATCTTGCGCAAAAAAGGTATAAGGTCTCATTCCTTCACATCTTCACGTTATACCTGCGTTAGAAAACACGAAGAAGCCCGAAACCGTCGGCAACGAGTGGCACATCATGACTACCGCGCACCGAACATACTCTCATCCTCCTGCACTGTGCGCTGCCATTTTACCGGTGACGTCAAGGCTCTTGTGAGGTCACGTGACGAGTAGTTACTTTTGCGTAAACATGGCGGCAACCGGGGGGCGGGGGCACTTTTAAACTTCCGTTTTGTCACTCTAAGCCCCTCTACCTTCATTGGGGGAATCCTAGCCCTTCTCTCCCGTTCATCCTTTCTCTCCTCTTGAACAGGTTGGCATACATTCTCTCCCCTGTAGCGGGTGTACTGCTGTACTTCACGGTTTTAGTGAGACTTTTTTAATCATCGCCATGGCCTAGAAGTTTCTTTTGTCAAAGTAACATCTGTTTTCCACAAATTTCAGTACCACGACGAAACATGTTTCGTCAAAACTCGCCTTTGGGGAATTGTATTGGTATTAGTATTAGTGGTGGGAATTCTATTAGTAACCCGTCCAGTGTTGTAGATAAACAGACCACGTCTTCCTTACGTACCAATTATTTTGTTACGTATAGGGCCATACTTCCATATAGCGGGACATGAATAATGGGTCGTGTTTTTTATTATTTTTATTTTGGTGTGGTTGTGGGTAAGTTTCAACTTACCTGCCGAAGGGGGGTGTTTCACCCTAAGTCCTACTGCAACCAGTGTAGTGCGAAATGTGCATCATCAAAGCACTCGTCGCTCGTTTTTTGTTTGCAATCACAGGGCAAACCCATTACGCTCCAAATTGCGCAGAATCACATCACATTTTCTGTGTGTCATTCGTTTAGGCTGTGTAGATGAATGAATAAATGAAGATGGACCACGAGCGCATGAGGAAACACTTTTGGCGCTGCTTGGTTGGCGCCATCGGCTCAAGGCGTTGGTTGTTGTCAGACGCAATGCTAAAAAGGAGTAGAGAAACCTTTCCCAAAATGGAGGTAGGAAGCTTTTGGGGGCTACATGATGCCACCAGAAGTGAAGCCGGGGAAGACTTGCGGTTTGCAGGGACACATCCCTGATGATAAGAAAAATCAAAGGACGCGAATGGGCGGACTTTGGCTCCCTTGGACTCCATTGGAGGGACATGGGCACCCTTGGGGGCGTTCCTACCACCCGCCAGTCTACTTCCGGCTTCACGTGGGATTGTCTCGTTTGGTTCGTTTGAACCGGAATGTCGCCTCCTCTTATTCCTACTCCGTGATTCGCACGCTTCGTTCTTATGAAATGGATGTATGCACGGCTGTATCTTTTATAACCGGGGATAGCTTGCGGCCCGTGGCCTAAAATACACGATTCATTTCCTCCTAGGACAATGCATTTCTGTAACTACCATCGGGCGATTGGAGTGCTCGCCAAGAAGTCCTATAGGAAATTGGGCAAACCAAACGAAAACAAACACGAGTAAACTAATGTTTGCACATGGTCTTTATAAAAGGGCTTATTCGTCCAACTTTTAGTACGCCATAGCTGCCGCATCCCCGCGGGGATCGCTTCCAAACCAGAGAAAAACGTCGCGACCCTCGGCATAACTTGCAGGTCCTCGAACTCTTCTCCACCAGCTCCCCCTGGTTATGACGTGAGCAGACCCCATGTTTCGCCTGCGCGCACCTCTCAGAGTGCACCCCAAGCGGTGACCTCTCTCTTCCAGCCCCTGAATGACTTCTGGAGACAGGCCATCTTCAAGATCAATGGCACTGCTGCAAGAATAGCAAAGATCAGTAAAAAATTTATTAGCGCAGCGATATTTCGGTGGCACCCTCCTATGGTTTCACCATCTGACATCACTACAAATATCAACTTTGTCATGACGGCACGAATTATGATATCTACTATCAAGATCGGTGGAAATACGAGAGCTGGAGTGCTTGGCCGTTGACACACGCTGCGCCTCCTGAGGCAACACCTCCGAAGACAATGCCGTAGTGCTGACATTTCTGCGTCACCAGCGAACGCCAGTGCTGGACATCATTGGGAAACGAGTGCTGCGTCAGCGCTCGGCTTCGAGTCAAGTTTGAGCCGAACGTCGATGCAATCTTCGTGTCTAATCTGTGCCGAGTGTTGGCCTTCGCTGATGACGTCATCTTTATCAGAACGACGGCTTGGTTATGTGTGAGGTGTTGGCTTTTAGTCCTCTCAATTCTGATAAAACTGCGGTGTTAACAGTAGAAAGCTGGGAGAGTGTGCGTTCTACTCCGACGTGTTTGACTCTCGTCCAGCACAATCCAAACTTTGACACTGCGCCGCTAGTACGCTGGAACTTCCGGCACTGTTCGAACTTCACTCCAATCCTCAGGCGTACTCTGTTACGCCTGACAGCCGCCGACGCTAGAATTCGATGCGCCAATCAAGCCGCGCCAAATATGTATCGGTACAGCCCCCAGAGAGAAAGAGAGAGAGAGAGAAGTTTTGAAATGAAAGGAAGCCTGAAAATTCATAGTGCTCATCACCTTTGCGTGTTGCTATCACCGAATAATCAATCACGCACAAAGAATAGACCGCTTTTCCTTCTGTCGTGATTAGTTTACTCGTTGATAACATACCCACACAGACCATACCAACAGCTATAGATGACTAAAGGAACCGCAGGACAAATCATCGGTGGCTATTTTTTGTTTTCTAAGGAGATCCATAGGGTAAGCCATAAAAGCTCTATAGCAGACCACACTGGAAGCTATGCACGGGTAAAGAATCCCTAAAAAAAGTCTTAGTCAGCTATAGCACGCTGGCTAACGACATCTTTAGAGCAAACCATAGAAATACTTATGGTATATTTTATAAAGAGATATAGGCGGCTAAAGAAACGAAAGGAATATTTTATGGGCACGCTCGCTGAAGGCCCCTTTAGCACGCTCGCTAAAGGAACCCATACACTGCGCCAAGCAAATGTTTTTAGCGAACAATCGACATACCTATAGACAGCTGTAGATAACCACTTATATGTCCTGAAAAAGCTAAAGGTACCCGTAGGGGAGACCATAAAGAATGCTGAAGAATTACCTCAATGCAGGGGAGACTTACATCATACAGTTAAAAAATAGATATAATAATAACATAATCGCTGGTAAAATCACGTCTTCGTGCTTGTACTCGTAAAACGTGCGCGTGAACATGACCGCCATTCCTTCAAGTTGTGTCATATATCAAACTAAAGGTATCCGGGACAAATGCAAAGCCAATTTCGATGCTATTAATTAATGTTGAATAATTCAGCTTTTTGGTCGTCTCAGAGAGCTCTGTTTTAAGTAACTGGACATTTTTTCAAGGAAGCCGTGATATCGCTCAATAAAAAAATATATACCTCTACAAACCATACTTGTAAACTTTACTTCTCCATGGTTCAACGGGGCACTTTTGAGGTTATAAAAAAAACAGGTTTATTTACAGCTGCCAGGCTCACGTCCTGCCCAGTTCGCCTGCAGAAAGGTTTTAGTGGTGCTCAGTTACAAGATCGCAGTTCAAAGTCTTAAGCTCAATTTTCTCCCCAATTTACTACCATCTTTGCTAAAAAATAATCCGTGTCAATTCTGGAATGAATTGTCCCACTGTGAAAGCCCCTCATGTATTTAATTTAAAACACAAGATGAAACTCTCATCAAGGTATCCTTACGTGCTATAATGTTACAGGAAGTGTTTATTTGGTCTGTTTCTAGCACGCCCATCAGTGCAAACCCAAGCTATCATGATGATGCCTTCCTGTTATTGGATCCTATCATACTGAACATCATCAATAGTATTAAGCTGTCTTCGGCGACTGTACTAGATGAAATTAACTCAAATTTGGTTAAGCTACAAATCAATACTCTTCTATAATCCTTTGACATATTTTTAAGCAATCACTTGAGAGATCATTGGCACCCTCTGACTGGAAAATTGTTAAAGTTATTTCCTTGCACAAATCTGGGAAGAAGCACGTTCCTCTCAAATTTAGACACATCTCACTAACTAGCGTTCCCTGTTAAATGTTAGAGAACATAATCCATACGCAACTCATTAACTTCCTAGAATACAATGCATATTTCTGCAGCTCAACATGGCTTTAGAAAACATTTATCTTGTGAAACGCAACCTTTTTCTATCACCAGCGACTTTCACTCAGAATTTGATCAGACATATCAGGTGGATTGCATATTTCTAGACTTTGCCAAAGCATTTGCCAAGGTATCGCACCAACTTTCATTGCTTAAGTTAAATAAACTTAATATCAACTTTAACATGTTTAACTGGCTAGTATCAACTTTAAAGAATCGGTCAAAATTTGTAACTCTTTCTCTGCACCTGTCTCTTCCGGAGTACCTCAGGGGTCTGTTCTGGGACCTCTACTCTTTATAATATGTATTAATGACTTGCATGTGGTGTTTTTTTCTTTAATCAAAGTCTTTGCTGACGACTGTGCTATTTATCAAATATTATCTAATGACTCTGACTCTCAGAAACTGCAACATTACCTAGATTTTATATTACACCGGTGGGAACTTTGATCAATAAAGCTCAATTTTAACAAATGTAGAATGATAGGCATAGCATGTAAAGCAAACTTGAATTGTGCTTATAGTATTAATAAGACACCCCTAGAACTTGTAAACTCATAGGAGTATCTGGGCGTGATTATAAGTACTGACCTTTCTTGGAAACCTCATATCAACTATGTGACTAAGAACGCCAATCGATTGCTTGGTTTTCTAAACGTAACTTTTATTTCGCCCCATAATCATTAAACTTATTCTTTTATAAAACGCTAGTTCATTCCAAATCTCAGATTGAAGCTGCATCAGCTTCAATCTGGGATTTTTCTACCATTTACCTCATTGATTCACTTGAAGGTATTCAACACAGATCTGCACGCTTCGTAATAGCCAATTATAACTGCGCTGCAAACGCAACATCAATGAAAGATAGTTTGTCACTCCCAAGCCTCGCACATCGCCACACAGTATCCCAGTATATCATCTTTATCTCTTTCATAAAATATATCTCCATATTGCTCAGCTTAAATCACAACTAATTATCCCCTTCTACTTTGTTTCAGCACGCCTTGATCATCCTCACAATGTCGGTGTCCCAGTTTTTCCACTCAAACGTCAATTTAACTTTAATTCCCAGAACTTCCAATAGCTGGAACCGCTTACCCGCATCGCTCACATTAAATAATGACCACGCACTTTTTGTACTTCCATTGCCAATTTCATATTCCCCGTTCTTTAAGTAATGCATATGTTGCTTAATTTGTATTATTATTACTATTGTTCCCAATTCCCCCTGTAATGCCTTGTGCCCTAAGGGTAAATAAATAAAAAAAAAATCTCTCTATACGCCGCTGGAGGAGGTCACTTCGTTCAGAACTCCACGGCTAGTGCTACACGCGTTGAACTCCGATGAGGACAGCAGTTATTAGCGTCAATATTGCTGGAGTTTTCTTTATAAATGCACTACAACTGTCTAAGAGGTAGACACTGCCTCAGGAGAATAAGGATTGTAATTTTCACGTTGTCTTCTCTGTCCGCCGTTTTGCAGAGACCAACAGTTTACGACAGAGCGAGCACTCCCAAAAAAGGTCTATGCACCATTCCAAATTAAAAAAAAAAGAAAAGCCCTGCGTGAAATTTTTTTAACCGAGCATATGCATGTTCGTCACTTCGCAAAGCGAGCAAAACACGTGCCATATATATGCACGGAGACTATAAATGGCATCAGTCAAAAATTGGTATAAAATACGGTTAGAGTGTCGACACTTCAATCCTAAATTGTCTTGGGGTCGCTTTTAATACGCACCAACTCACGTGCACGTTAAATGTTTTATCAACATTATGTCGCTGCCTATAGTTCGGTTCACCTTAAGTCCAGAGGCCGCCGACGCTACGAGCTGATGGGATGAATCAGGCAGAGTCAAATAGGCACCATCATGGTGTTCGTTCTCTTTCGACGTGTTCAATTAATTGCTATACCAATAATAAGCCCAGAAGGTCTAATTATTTGCGTTTCTAACGCTGCTTGATTGTAACCTTTAGCACGTAGCATCGACTGCGTCTGGACTTGCATTGAAAAAAGTGTAGTGCCAAATGGGCGCAAATGGCGATGGTTTTGGTTAAGAAATTCGGGCTCCTGAGCTTTGGGTACACTGTCAGAAAGCACAGGTGATATTGTCTTGCTTTGTCACGGAATTTTTAAACATTCTTAGAGAAAAAAAAGCACTTCTTGCATTTTAAAATGAAGCTTCGGATAACTGGGAGCGATGGTTTTTCATCTAGCCAAATGGCTGAATCCAGAATCTAAAGTTCTTTGTCTAGACGTTACAAAAACAAAAACAAAAAAAAAAGACTAAGATATCCAATACAATAGAATGGATGAAATATCGTTCACCTGAAGCATATTTAGTGGCTCTCGTGCACATATTGTAAGCAACCCCTGCAGAAAACCTTTAAGCAAATTGTGCCTTCAAATATGGGCCCCATTCTAAATCTGTCGTGATATTTGTGTTTGAAAATGCCTACATAAATAAAATTAATAAAAAATGCAGGCACAAAAATAAAAATTCTTTTAAAACAATTAAATAATGTAAATTTTCAAATAAAAACTAAGCTTCCTTGTGTCTTCTATGTTCTTTTATAATTTTGGCTATTATTTGAGGTGGGCACAATCAACTGCATTTTATGCAGCAACATATAGGGATTCCCAAAATTGCAGGAAGATCCATTGGTGGAAATTTAGGGAATGTGTTAGCTTGACCTTTGTAAATGCCAAACCCGTCCCTCTTTGGGAAACGCTAAAAGTGACCCCATCAATTTTCTTTTGGATTTTACTTTTGATTTTTCTTGCTTCCTCTATTTTTTGCTGCCTCGTTTTGGTCTCGTTACAAGCTCAGTGTTAGAGTTTTTCAAAGGGGGGCGTCTGTGGCGTTTCCATAGTATTTCGCTAACGGATTTTATAAACATTCAGCAGTGAATCTTCCTGTAATTTTTTCACCCCTTTTATCTACTCTGCCTGTCCGAGTACGCCGATGCACTTGGATACGATCATCTATATGACTCGTGAAAATAACCACATCAGTACCACTTGTGGAAGAAACCGCGTCTATATCACTCGTGGAAGGAACCGCATTTATCGTTTTAAGTACACACACACATGACAGCCAACGTACCACTACTACAGAAACCCAGAGCGAAGAACAACCGGAGACGGCAGAGGGGGCAATTAAGCACGCCCGCATTCCACTGCGCCGCGGCATGCGCAGCGCCTTTTCCTCTCCGGTTCCGCGCCAACTGTGCGACGCTACTTTGACGACAAAACAAGCTCGTTTTGACACAAACTTGATGGTGTCTGTCAGTTTGTCAGCGCCGGGGAGAGAGGGAGAGGTTGACGCGTGCTGACGTCAGCGCTTCAGACCTATGGGAGCGTCGCACGTGTCATCCTCTCCCACTTCCCTTCTCCCTCTCTCCTTGGCTTTGAGAAACGAAAGACACGGCCGGGTTTTTGTCGAAACGAGCGTTCTAATGCTAAAGCATTAAAAATAACCAATTGTGCTCACTCTGGGTGCACAGAGGGTCCATCTCCAATCATGAATCTTGGTCTTTCGACCGCCTCCTGCGGATTCAATCCGAGCTCCATCATGCCAAGAAGAACCTGAGATCAATAATTATGAGCCCTTAAAAAAATCGGTAAAATGCGCAAGCACATTGCAAATGCATAATTTTCCAACATCATTGAGCCTCTGCCATTCAACATATCCGGTCGCGGAATATATTAATTAAGAAAGCAAACACAAGCGAGCGCGTGGCTCCAAAGACCTCCCGTGCAATCTGAGTGAAGACAGCTGAGTCGCCAAGGCTATTCTGCCAACGGGTTTTATTTCAGCGTTTCTTCGATTTTTGTCGTTACTATCCACTTGGTAGGCAAACGACTGCTGAGTAAACACCGATAGTAGTAGTTCTCGGTGAAATAAAATAAAAACCGCTTCGCTTCATTTATCCCGCGAACTTGTTATCAAACTTTTAAAAACTGGCCGCTCAATCTGCCGACCCGGCGGTTTCAGCCACGCATAAATTTGATATTTTGTCACCGAAAGCCTCTACATTCAACGCTGAATCAGCATTAAGTCAGTGACAGTTTGGCACGCAGGGAGTGACGACATAAATTTTACAGCCACCAAAGAATCGATAACGGTTGACCTAAATTCTGATAGAATGTTCTGCAGACATTTTAAACAACGCACTCAAGAGGTTTTTTTTATATTGTTCGTGACTGTGCGATTGGAATAAAACTCCAGCGTGAGCGTTCGCGCGCAGTCAAAACACTCCAGTGTTTTGGTTTGACGAGGGCGCTCGCGGTTCACGAGGCGCCGAAGCGTTATCGAAGGGAGGAGTTCGCGCTGGAAGCTTGACAACTGAAGCTCCTCCTTGCTTTGGAAAGTGCCTCCTGTTAGAAGCTGTCCCTGCACAATGTCGGACACAAGAGACAAGGCCTATTTTGAAGAACTAGAAACTCAATAACTGCCGGATCATTTCTAGCTTGTGTTTTTTTAGAACATCCTCCTTCGTGGTTTTGCTTGCTCTTCAATTTTGCAGTGTTTCGTACCGTTTTACATGGGCACGTGACTTTAGAAAGTGGTCTATAAAAAACAAGGTGTCCGGCTTTTTTCTTCTAACTAGGGGATTGGTGCAGCGCGGCCTGCCGCTCGTCCGCGTCAGCGAGATTGCTTCTCGCGTTCGCTCACAACGCGCACGATGTTATAGCCACTTACAAAGTGAGAACGGCGGAGACTGGGTTTCAGTTGTCCCACCTAATGCACCTTGATAAAGGCGTCTTTTACAGGTACCGCGAATTATTGTTGGGAAAACGCGCGAGGCACGTGCCACGAACGGGTGCTCCGCCGCCATTCGCCTCCAAGGGCCGCTCATTTCAGTGCTGCGCAGCCATTTGCTTCCTAGGGCCAGGGGGATCGGTGGCCGAGTGGGCTAAAGCGCACACCCAGCTCGACGCGCGTGGAGCGAAAGCTCGCGCTGCAGAACCCAGGGATCCTGGGTTCGAGCCCCACCCCTGCCCGTTTCGATCTGGTTGAGCATCGTACCGGCGTGCGGTCGTGTATCACTACTGCGTGGTGCACGTTAAAGACCCCAGGCTAGCGGTTGTACTGCACTGGCTAAATTGCTCATCTACAGCGTGTGACTCGTCGCAACTTTAATGGCTGACCAACTACACGCTGTATAAATATCCCCACAACCCCCCCCCCCCCCCCCCCAATTATTATTATTCCTAGGGCCGCTCCAGACACAAGCCACGTGTGCTCGCGCATTTGACGCTACTTGCAAGACAAACGGAAACATATCGAAGGGCTTTAATCCCACCTCCATCGCAAATTTCCTACCTTGGACGACACTTGGGGGTCTCGTACACCTCGAGCGAGCGCGTGAAGCCGAAGCGAGTCGAAAGCAGGACGTAAGATAGACAGGTGGGGAAACGAGAGCCAAATGAGCGACCGGATTGTGTACCCCTCGGTTTTCTTTTAGAGCGCAGCTCTTAGGGGCCCGTTCCCGGCTTGAGCGGCGTCGCCGTCGGCGTCGGCGTCGGCGTCGGCGTAACCGCAACCCTCGTAACCCTCGTGAGGGTTACGAGGGTTACGAGGGTTAATCTCATGAGGGTTACCCTCACGAGGATCACGAGGGCCACGAGGGTTACTTACCCTCGTAACCCTCGCGAGGGTTACGAGGGTTAGTTACCCTCAAAAGGGTTACCTTCACGAGGGTTACCCTCACGAGGGTTACTTACCCTTGTAACCCTCACGAGGGTTACGAGGGTTAGTAACCCTCGTGAGGGTAACCCTCGTGAAGGTAACCCTTTTGAGGGTTACGAGGGTTAGTAACCCTCGTGAGGGTAACCTTCACGAGGGTTACCCTCACGAGGGTCACGAGGGTTATGAGAGTTACCCTCACGAGGGTTACTCACCCTCGTAACCCTCACGAGGGTTACGAGGGTTAGTTACCCTCACGAGGGTCACGAGGGTTATGAGAGTTACCCTTACGAGGGTCACGAGAGTTACCCTCACGAGGGTCACGAGAGTTGCCCTCACAAGGGTTACTAGGGTTACCCTCACGAGGGTCACGATGGTTACCCAGGTCGTGACCCCCCCTGGGGTCACGTGACCTGGGGATACCCCCCGAGGTCACGTGACCCCCCGTTGACGTCATAGGCACTGATGACGTCGTCAGTGACGTCACTGATGACGTCACCGGCATCCGCATCGTCATCGTCATCATCACTGATGACGTCATTAGTGACGTCACTGATGACGTCACCGGCATCCGCATCGTCATCATCATCACTGATGGCGTCATCAGTGACGCTACTGATGACGTCATCGGTATCGTCACGTGGCCCCAGGTCACGTGACCCCCCGACGTCACGTGACGCCCCAAGGTCACGTGACTCCTACAAGGTCACGTGACCCACAAGGTCACGTGACCCCCAAGGTCACGTGACCCCCCGCCCCCCGAGGTCACTTGACCCACCCCCCAGTACCCTTCCCTCCTCCTCCTCAAGAGCTGCGCTCTAATTCGGCGTTACAGGGAGTTGTAAACGGCTTTCATTTTTTTTCTGTGGCGCCATCTATGTGGAGCATCGGGAACTCTCACTCCGGGTGGGCGACCTTTGGCGACCGGCTAAACTGACAGAGATGGTTTTTCGTTGATTTTCAATGGAGGACTGTCGTGCTCTCGGCTATTTTGCGCACTCTCCCATAGAGTTCCACGCAAATCCGATTCCGACTTTTTTTCCTCTCGCCGCAGCGCCATCTGTTGCAAATCGGGGGTACCCGCAAGCAGACGAGTACACAATCCGGTCACGGCGCTGCGGTAGGCTTCTATGGGCCGTTTCCCCACCTGTCTATCTTACACCTTGGTGGAAAGGCAAGGAGCGCGTGTTGGAGGCGCGGGAATCGGAGACACCCACCATTCTCATCTTCTTAGTGACTATAGGGGGTATTCGATAGACGCCATATTTGAGGGGTACCGCTTAAAGCGCATGCTCAGAACGAGCTCACATTAATAGGCTGCTGAGACCGGCAGTTCTCGCTCTCAGAAATAGGGGGTGTAGGGGTACACCTCTTGTCCGATATGAAACACTCCAAAACTATATTTCGACATTCAGTGCCCTGACGTCGAGCTGGCAATACCCACTTTTACGAGCGGCTTGATAGCTGTTGGATATAACGTACTAAATAGCGAATTTGCGTAATAAAGACTACAACAATAAAACCACCGACACAGGTTTTTCAGCGTGGCCAAAAAACCTTGATTGTCTTACCGTAGCCTTTAATCCGTACATTAACTATTTTAATAAGTTGTATCGCTCGACTATCAAGCCGCTCGTGAAGGTTGGTATCGTTGGTTTGATGTCAGTGGACTGAACGTCGAATTGTTTTTTTGGGATGCTACATATAGGACAAGGGGTGTACACCCCTGCACCATCTATATCTGAGAATGTTGATGGTATGGAATGCTTGCTGCAAGAGGACTGCGGAAGCTCGCCGTTAGCACGCGCTCAGCAGCCGCACACAAACTATGGCCACCAGTGAATACTCACTATGGCAGATAGCGGCGCCAAGACGCCTATGCCCAACGTCCTTAGATCTATCTACCCTCTTTTGGGCGTCCAAGATGTCACTTTTTTCTCCCTCGGAGACTAGTGTGTCACTGCAATTCATACAAAAGCGGCTACAGCCGTACACGCAGCTGAAGTCCCTCTGCGAAGCGCATATTGGCTCACTGGAACCGTAGCCCTTGCCGTTTGCCAACCTGCGGTGAGACGGAGTATAATATATTGCCTGCAGATACCACAATTTTCGGTTGTCTATGAATGTCGATAGCATTCATCTAGGACCTCCTTGAGGTCAAAGTCGCTCTAGAGGACGACGTCAAAGCCGATGTCTATGAAAACCTCTAGGACGACCTCTAGGACGAGCTCAAGGGCAACGTTTCAGATGACATCGAGAACGACGTCTTGGGCGACGTCTAGGACGACGTCGAGGACGACGTCGAGGACGACGTCGAGGTCGGAAGTTACTTCTGAGAGGGTGGAATAAGGAGTGTGAGAATCTGAGCTGGAATGGTTTACTGCGCATACCTCCTGCGCATTAGGAAGCCAGAATGTCCAAGAAATCCGGGGAGTGGGTAGCTAAAAAATGCTATCTCATTAAAAGCAGCGGCTATATTGAGAAATGAAAGTGAACATATTACAGTTAGAGCCAATATACGCATTATAACCACCACGACCGGTTTCATAGGGGCGACCAGGTCACCCGAGGCATCGCGAGCGCGCCGCATTTGCTTTTCTTATTTAGTACTTTTTCTAGTTCGCTGAACCGCCGCCGCGTTCACTGGCGCCGTAGCTCACCACACTAGCAGGTGCTTTCGCGTGTGTATCTATGTGTGTCCGCTCCCCGACCGGCGACGTTTTGACGATAATCTGCTGTATTTTAAGGACTTTTCTCGTCGTTATTGCGATCGTACGTTCAGTAAAGAGCCACAAGCTGATCCATATCGGATTCTTCTTTGGTCAAAAGATAACAAACTTCCCCTAAACTTAAACCAAATGCACTACCATGCACATCACTGCCTCGCGCCACCTTC